ACAACATCTCCATAAAACCCGTACGCCCGTCTAGAAGTTGCATCTCCCCAAAAACATCGACTAAACCTGTTATCGCCATTTCCCTCAATCTTGAAATAAAAAGCCTCATTTTTTTTCTGTTCAGCCATAAAATACTCGGTCACTAGTTCAACATCGTGGTTCCTCAGCTTCCCATTCACACTACATTCAAGATTGTAAATATCCTTTTTGATAAAACCGATTTTATCCATTCTTCCGGATTGCACCTCAAAAATACTTACCTTCTAATTAATTGGAATATTAACCGAACCCAACTGTTTTGTGAGTACCTTTGTAGAATCTGAAATACGACGGTGTGATCTCAGTAAATGCATTCTTCCTGAGGTGTCATCTTATGATTATGTCCCTCTGTAAAAAGAGAGATGGTATACTTCTTGCTCCCATGTGTCTTCACAACCACAATCTTAGCTTTACAATTGCATCTACTTATTCCCCGCTGTCTTTTTCTCTCCCGAGTTTCATCCTTCCGGTATGCACCTTATTTGCAACATACAAATTCTTTTCTCAGAATCTCTTTTTTATTTTTTCCCCAAAAGCTGGAATGAAGTCGAATACCAAAGCCAGCCAAGAATGCATATCTATGATAGAAATTATAAACGAGGTCAAGTGAGTTGAACTTCATCCCAACTGCTGGTGTTTCCTCATTTCTTACTTCAGGAATGTAAACCCTCCCATTAGCTGTTACAGAGTCATCACTCTCTGAGCCCCCAGACATTTTATCCACGTATATTATTGATCTACTTCTATATTACTGCATAGCAAATGTTAATTCATTAATCAATCATTACTGCATCACAACTTATCAATGCATTCCACTTACACAAAACATTGCCCAAATTGACACAATACACGCATAGCCTAGCTTGTTGGATTCTGATTACACAAAACACAAGCAAAATTTAATAATAGTTACGTCATCTCTTGTGAAATAATCTGGAAAAAATAACATTAGAACCAACATGTTCAACTAAGAACTCAAATGTAATTCAAACCAGCAATTACAGAACTTCACCCAATATCCTCTCCAAATGCTTACTCCTAATACCATTAAGCCTAAGTTTAGGATCTTTTACCTACATTTCATAATTTTCCAACCCCCCTCCAAAAAAAAATAATCAACTAAGTATATTGAATATTCATAAGGAAATGACGCATTATTGATAGCAGAACAAATGACGCATTATTGATGCCACAAATGACAAATTTCTCACCCTCACAAAAAACAAATCAAACCCAACAAAATCAATCCAGCAAGAGTGAACTTACCTCTCAAAGTCAATCGGGAGCTCCGAAGTCAGTCAGCTTGAGAGAATGTGGTGGACATTAGATAGGATTCTTTCGTAGTGGAGACTTCATATCTACCAAAATCGAGGAACAACTGCAGCAGCACGAAAAAGAGATATGATACTTTGCTTTCATCTGGAATCTCTTCTGCTGAACGAAAAAGAGAAGAGGTTTTCACTTAAATCATAGAATTAAGACAGGGCAATAGCTAGGTAAAAGCCATTAATCGTCATACCGAGGATACCATAGATTGCAGGCCTCCCAAGGAGCTAATGACAATGGAGCGATTATGGAGTTTGGGAGCTTTGGATCTTTCTAATTGTGGATTTGCATTACATTAAAAAAAAGAGGATTGTGTTCTTGAGTTTTTCACAGAGAGGGAAAAATCTTCAGCTGAAGTTGGGTTTCCAAACGGGTCAGATTTCAATCCAGTTCTACATGCACCCTCTTTTAAAAACTCACCGTTGAATGAAATCCAACGGCTCTTACATACCCCTCAAAAAAACCCCTTATAACTTTCCACCCACTATAGAAGCACTCGTTTTGGTTTGTTTACGCATTTGGGCTGGTGTGCATATGTAGTTGGAGCTTGCAACCAAACGAAAGTAACTGAAAAAACTGTAGCAAAAGACCATTGGGCTATTTGTGGGGCTCAAGAAACTTCCAATTGAAAACACAACGACATGGCCCCAGCCCCAGCCCAAGTAACCGTCGCCGAAATTTGACCTTTCTCAGATCCAACTATCTTCCAACGTTCTATCCTCTTCTCATAATTATGGTCCAATCGGAGAACCACAAAGCAACCTAATCCTTAAACCACTGTACTCGCCACTCACCTCAAAAACCACACTTCTCCAGACGACGCCGTCTCGTCCGCTAACGATCCCAAGAAGCGAGTAGTTAACATTTTCATTACTCTCAGCATTAGGCCAAATCCCAACAACAATCTCACCTTTTTCAACCCAACTTGTTCAAAATCAAACGAATCTCAATCCCTCTCTCTCTCTCTCTTTCTCTCCGTCTCTCTCAACTCTCAAACTCTCTCTGCTTCTCCTTCTCCAATGGCTTCCGCAGTGCCCGAAACCCTAAGCCGAGAACAGTATGTGTACCTGGCCAAGCTCGCCGAGCAAGCCGAGCGCTACGAGGAGATGGTGAGCTTCATGGAGAAGCTGGTGGTGGGGTCCACCGCCGCCGGGACTGAGCTGACGGTCGAGGAGCGCAACCTTCTCAGTGTCGCCTACAAGAACGTCATCGGCTCGCTCCGGGCGGCTTGGCGCATAGTGTCATCGATCGAGCAGAAGGAGGAGGGACGCCGGAACGAGGAACACGTGGCGCTCGTCAAGCAGTACAGATCCAAGGTCGAGACTGAGCTCTCGGCCATCTGCGCCGGAATTCTCGAGCTCCTGGAGAAGCACCTTGTTCCATCGGCTTCTACTGGAGAGTCCAAGGTCTTCTACTTGAAGATGAAGGGCGATTATCATCGATACCTCGCTGAGTTTAAAAATGGCGATGAGAGAAAAACCGCTGCTGAGGACACCATGGTTGCTTACAAGGCTGCTCAGGTATTTTCATTTCTTTTTCTTTCGATTTAATTCACTTAAAAACCAAATTTAATTTAGTTTGATTTGGTTTAATTGGATTGGTGTGAAGGATATTGCTTTGGCTGATTTGGCGCCTACGCATCCAATAAGGTTGGGGCTGGCGCTCAATTTCTCGGTGTTTTACTACGAGATCCTTAATTCCTCAGAGAAAGCTTGTAGCATGGCTAAACAGGTTTGGGCTTCCTTTGAGATTCTTGAAGTTATTGG